AAAAAAAAATAAAAAATAATTGGTTGTTCTCTCTGATTGTCATTGTGATGTTATGGTACTATATCTTATTTACACAAAACTCACACTTGCACAAGTGCACACACCCATTAGGAGGGAGGATTGACATTTAAACCTCTGAGCTTTCCCTCATCAAAAGAGATTCACTTCAAAGTTATGTGTGAAAATAACATCTACGGTAAACCCTCTACAGTTCTAAGAGCCACAAACTCAAAACTATAAAATTTACTGTCATAGTCCACACAGTATTGTGTGACACTGCTTGGAGTCACACTTAAGGGAATTTGAAGTTCTCATTAATCAGTCCATATTAATGAATCAATCCAGATTTCAAATGCTAATCCAAAAATGTCTCCTTACCTTCAGCTGGTCCTGGCAGCGGAATACATAGCAGGCTGCTTTATTCTCCTCTCTGAGCAGACAACCAAAATAGCTGGGCTCCTGGCTGTTGTGAATGAGTTTGGTGATACGATGTGGCCTGTGATCAAACAGAACCATATGTTGCAATGGATCCCATGGCTCCCCCGGTCCTGCCGTGTCCAGAATGCAGCTCACTGAATTGACTGAAATCTGCAATACCACAGGTTGATCTCGAACCTTGGACCATCAGAGGGAAGAAGAAAAAATAGTACTATGATGCTACCATGGTATTCTTCTATGTACGTAAACAAATACTGTTATACTATGCCATAGTATTCATCTAAATAATAAAAAAAACACTTTTGCGTCCCTGATTGTACACATCGTCTTCAATAAGATGTTTCATATACTCAACTGTTCAAAAGTCAGTAAGATTTTTTTTTTAAAGAAATAAATAATTTTATGTAGCAAGGATGTGTTAAATTGTGACAGTTAATGTTATATAAAAATTAGGGCTGTCAAACTATTAATTGTGAATAATCGCATCCAAAATAAAAGTTTGTGTTTACATAATATATGTGGGCGCACTGTGTATAATTATTATATATATATATAATACACACACATGCTTGTATATATTTAAGAAATATTTTCATGTGTATACTCTATATACTGTAGATTTGTATATAGTTTATATTATATATAAATATTTTATATACAGTATAAATAATATTTTTTTCTTAAATATACATGTATGTGTGTGTATTTATATATATACAAAATAATTATACACAGTGCGCCCACATATATTATGTAAACACAAACTTTTATTTTGGATGCGATTAATCGCGATTAATCGTTTGACAGCCCCAATAAAAATATTTAAAATAAATGCTGTTCTTTTGACCTTTCCATTCATCAAATAATCCTAAAGAAAAACATATATAATGGTTTACATAAAAATATAAAGCAGTAAAACTATTTTCAACACTGATAATAAGAAAGGTTTCTTTAGCACTAAATCAGCAATGATTTCTGAGGGATCATGTGAAACTGAAGACATTTAAAAGGGCATTTTAAAACATTTTCAAATAGAAAACAATTATTTTAAATTGAAATTATAATACATTTTTATTGTGTTTTATAGTGAGCATAAAAAATAAACTTTTGAACGCGTTGTATATTTACAATACATTTACAATTTTGTTTTACATTGCTTTGTTTTTCTGTAACATATTTTCTTCCAACATGAAACTGACCTCTGGAGAGTAAGAGCCCATAAATTCATGGTTTCCGTTCTTCTCCCCCGGCCGGGGCCTCCGTATCTCAGCCACCACCCAGGGGAGCATGGCCATGGTGGTCCGTGGATGGATGGCCAAAGATCCAACCAGAGTTAGCCTGTACTTAATCTCTTCTTCCCCTTCCTCTTTCTTCCTCTTATCCACTGATCCATTAAGTGTTTGTGTAAGGGCAGAGAGAGGATGATCTTTGATTAGGTCATCTCTGGGTTTGACCTCGAAACAAATTCCCTCCATGCTCCTCCTGATCAAAAAAAAAAAAAAAAGAGGAACTAGGTATAACCTTGTCAAGAACAGTAATAAAAAACATAAATGAAGCAGGTGTTTGATGAGACAACTTCTACAACATATAAAACCTCAACTCTGTAAATAAAACAGCTTATTCTGGAAAGGAACACAGGCAAAGAATTCCTGCCCCATTCAGCTTTAAGTAAAGTTGTCTAAAATTATATAATATTAATAAAATGTCATTATAATACTTTGCTTTTGTTGCTCTTTAAATTTGCATTAGATAAGGTACAAAATGATAGTCAAACATATTTAAAAAAAAAAATAGACAAAGTTTATAACTTAAAAGAAAAGTCAACCAGGCTAAAAACTGTTATTTTAGTATTTTATATATAATATTATTTTTAGGGCTGTCAAACGATTAATTGTATCTAAAATGAAAGTTTGTGTTTACATAATATATGTGGGTGCAATGTATAATTATTTTATATATATATATATATATAAATAGACACACATGCTTTTATATATTTAAGAAATATTTTCATGTATACAGTATACTGTATATAGATTTATATATATATATATATATATATATATATAAATAATATTTTTTTCTTTAATATACATGCATGTGTGTGTATTTATATATATACAAAATAATTATACATAGTGCACCCACATATATTATGTAAACACAAACTTTTATTTTGTATGCGATTAATCGTTTGACTGCCCTAATTATTATTTATTACTATTTAGAATTTTTTTTTTATTTTCAGGTTTCATTTTAATTTAAGTTTTAGTCGTTTGTGCTTTTGTAATTTTTATTCGATTTTATATTATTTTAGATTATTTTAAAATTTTAAAACTTATTTATTTCTCTTAGTTGCCGAAGCAACATTTATAATTTCCCTTTCAGTTTTTTTTAAGTTTAAGTTTTTCATCTAATATTTATTTTTATTTTTATCTTTATTTAATTTTTTGTAGTTGACAACAACATGGCTAAAAACCTAAAATCTGCTTTAATTAAATTAACTGGTTTAAGTCTAAAATATTATTTAATATACCCTACAATCATCTGACATGCATTATGTTACACCAACAAAATTCACTGCAAATTATGTGCGTGTCAAGGGATGCGCCATTCAGAATAGAGTTTGTGTGATAATAACAACAAAAAGGAACCTCATCCTCTACACATAGAACTAAGCTTTATAAAATAAGATTATAAAATAAGAAGTAGCCTAAAGGTTATATTGTATATCTAAACAAAAGTGTTTGAGGCATTGGAATAGAGTGTCCTCCTACGGTTCTGAGACGGGGTCCTCATTGGGAGCTTACAGTACATGCACTGGTAGCTTACATGAGTATAAATAGCCAAGCATGTCTAATGAGACACAACTGCTATTTACAGAGAGGTCAGCAGAAAGTTACTCTGATGATAACAAACAAGAGGTAGTAAAATGTCACCAAAATAAATAGCTAAATAAATAACAATGCAAGACAGGACAGGTCCTGGACTCATGTAGCCTACGAAATCGAAGGAGAGAGACAAGCCAAAAAAAAAAAAGATTTTGAGGACAAGGCAAGGTCATAGTCGCAGTGCAATATTGTGCTATAAGTTACTTTGAAATATTATTAATTCTATTTAGCCTATCTAATGAGCTTTATAAAGGTTGTAACTGTCACTTACCTTTACGCACGATGCACCGCCTATTTGAGGAAGTTCTTAATAACGGTCCCGTTAGTTTTTGACAATAGGCCACATAGGCTACTATAATGTCCCATCGGCAACTGATTTTCAGGTTGAACTTTGTCCAAAGTAGTCGATTAATCACCGCATCGGTCTCTCGCCATAGCATAACGCGACACCGAGTAGTGCGAGACTAGGCTAGTGTGATTGAGGAAGTCTTCTTCTCTGACGTTTGAATGAACTTCTGACTGCGCAGATCACGGCGAGAGAAGGTCTTGCCAGCACTAAAATAAATAAATAAATAAATAAATAAACACGCTGGTTTTAATAAAGCTGCGGAGTTTGTGTTTATAGTTTTTTCTTTTCTGTAGCCTAGGTTAAAAAAAATAAATCTGTCATTATTACGCTACTCATCCTCGTGCAGTTTCCCGTATGAATTTCTTTCTTCTGAGGAACTCAAAAGGAGACGTCAAGACTTTGTGACTGTAAAAGTGAATGGTGACCTTTTTGATGTCCAACGAAGTCAGTGTCCGGTTCTGCATGCACTGTCAAAGTAGGCTACCGAACAACTTAAAATGTAGGCATAATTGTGTTATAGTCTATTCTTGATAAGTATTATCGTACCTAATATTATCAACACGTGAAATGTGTAATACATGTCGGCTGTAAAGCAAAAAGTTACCAAAAATGTGCCTTTATCCAGCGCCGCACCTGCCGCGTCCACTGCTCGATTGATTTATCCCGGTGCGCGCGCTCTGTTTATGCGCGTGCCCACAGACAGCTCTTGCTCTTCGCTTAAAATTAAGTCACTCTCTTCATGTTTGTGTTACACAAACCGAAAGTAAAGACCACTACGAGCTACATACACACGCACACACACTACTGTCAACTGCATGACTATAAATAAAGAGGTGGTGTAGAGTGACCAACTAAGTTAAAAAAAAAAAAAAAAAAACATTACACAATTATAAACTAATATAAACTTAGCAAATACAGAATTCCCATAAAATAAATATTATATTATATTATGTCAAATATAGCCTTTAAAAGTAATGCTGGCATTTTCTAACCATAATTTCTAATAGGCTACAAGAGATCAGAAAATAAGAAGTTACTGAAATGCTGTAAAACGCAAATACAAATAACAAACAGCAGCAAATATAAGAGAACAAATATATAACAATATAAAGAAATGTCAAAAAACAAATCTATCAAATGTTAAAAAGTAAAGTAAATGTTTTGAGATAAACAATACCCTCTGTTGGCCTTAAACAGATAATACATGCAATTTCCCCTTTTTACAGTTTTTTTTTTTCACAGACCTCGACAGGAAAATTACAATTTTGACTGACTGACAAAACAAGACAGTGATTGATGGATTAAAGTGTTCAAACAAAACATACATTTTTATTATTTCATTTATTTGATATAATAGATCCATTTTAAGTATTCCTAACTTTAACACACACTCACACACAGATAAAAGACCACTGTGAATCACTGTACATGAAAAATAAATCAACAGGTATTTAATGTTGTGGTTTACTAGTAAGCCTTACATTATGTCATGGATGACATAGATGGATAATCAAAAAATTAGGTTAGTATTAAGACATTTTCTGTTAAATCTCAGTCATAACCATTGCAAAAATGAGATCAGATTTGCTTTTACACAAGAATGGTTGATCACATAAACGTATCTGCTCAAGGAAAAAATTTCCTTCTGTTCAAATGTAAAATTTTCCAAACAGGTTCCCAGTCTCAACCGCACAGTTAGTTCTGAAAGTAATATCAAACTGGTTGAGTTTGACATGTAAAATGGTAATAAATGTATCATAAAAAACAATTACAGACCACTTAATGTAGATGATGGAATGATAATTTAATGGAATCATGTAAAAGTGGCAAACTCTGCTCTTTCAAAGTAAGGTTTTGCAGTATGGAATCATTTCTGTCAATCAACTCAACTAATATATCTGCTGACATAAATAATCTTTATATTAATTCAAGCACACTTTAGTTGTATTAGTGTATTCATAGTTCAATACTGTAGGTCAAAAAAGACAAATGAAAAAAAAAGTCATATATTATTTTATCCCATAACAGATTAGAAAAATGTGAGTTGTGAAAAATGTAAATGCAAAAGGCAATAGTTCGGTTCATGTGGCACCCGCTTTGATCTACATAATGAGAAAATCTCCTTAGATTAAGACTCAGAATATTTAATAATAGTGGTTATAGGTTAAGACTAACAGCAGAATGATATGAATATCTTTGTAATCCTGTTTGATTGTGTCTCTCACTGTGGTCGAGGAGTCAAGCCGTTTTTCTCAGGTTGGTAGAAGTGTTCCACAATGGCATCAACCAAATTATCCAATTCAGTTTTCAACTGGTTAAGATCACTAGAGAAAAGAAACACAGAAAACCTGTTTAAACATGATTATGAGTTATTCAAGTGGCATGTGCCATTTCTAAATTATTTAGCAAGTGCCAAGACTATGAGTATGTCCATACTGAGCTCACTATTCTTGCAGAGTACAGTGCATATGAAGAGTTCCATTTGAAATTTTCTTCTAGAATGATCATTTTTATCAAGCTTGTATATTTAATTTCAGTGATTTCACTTAAATGGCAATGATAATTACCTATTAATTGTTGTTTAAGTGAAATTACTGAAGACGAAAATTTCAAATGGCATTTAGAGACTTTTGCATCTGAACTCTTCATATATCACGTGCAAATAAGCAGAATTATTTTTATTCAAAGAATACAATGATGAATACAAATACTACTACCTTACAAAATATCTTAATAAAATACGCTGTATGCGACAATAGAAAACTACTGTGGGGAATGTTTATCAAATCATAAGATTAAAAATATTAGCATATTTTAATATACAATAATACATAATTGTTATTATAATGTAGTAATTTTGAATAATAATAACAATTCTATCAATATATTTTATATAATACATAATTAATAATAATTATACTATTCTATAACTAAATTAATAGATAATTATATGTAATATATTATTATTGTTGCATTATAAAATATATTTATTAATTTATAAAAATTAAACAAATTACAAAAGAATATTACTATTGCCATACTATTGTATTGTAAAATTAAAACAGTTTTTTTTACTATAATAAATGATATATAATACATATTTAATAATACCTATTTTTTTATAACTGAAGTAATATAAAATGATGTGTAATATATTACTCTTATTATTATTATTGTATAGTCATATTGCATAATCATAGTAGCATTATATACTGTACAGAATAATAATTAATCTAGCTATATAAATAATACATAATGGTAATTCTATATAACTAAAGTATATTGTTATTATATATATATATATATATATATATAATTTATTTCTAAATAATTAATTCATAATTAAAAAACTAATAATACCATAATATAATCTTAATATAATAATAATTCTAACAATATATTTATACAATACATAATTAATAATAATTATACTATTCTATAACTAAATTTAAAGATAATTATATGTAATATATACAAAAAATATACATATAGAAATTATATGTAATCAATAATTTAGTATTATTTCTAATTTTCTAAAAAAAAAAAAAAAAAAGTAATCATCAAAATGTATAATCATCAAAATGTCATCAAAAATCTATTGCAATAATGATATTGTACGGTACCATACTTTGCCTATATAGTGTGAAATGGTAACACTCAAAACCTGTTTCCTGGTGCAGCACAGAGTTCAGTGTAATATTTGATTTTAGGCTCTGTGCCGCTGGTCCTCATTGTAGCCACGCCCCCATTAGCAAAAGTGAAGGTAATCATCTGACTGCTTTTACTGGTGGGCAGAACCTGTGAGTAATAGTAAGAGACACACAAATGGAAGATACAGGATAAGAAACAATTAAATGAGATCAGCTATGAAAATATTTCTAATCATTATGGGCAACGCACAGCCTGGTTGTCGGGCTGGTGGCTGTCATAGCCAGTCGTAAGGTCTCTCACGGCTGTGATGGCAAAGCCCCCGCACTCTTTAGGGTACGAATTCTCCCCGTCGTAGTTCCGAAGACGCTCAAACAACCGCTTTATGGTGTCTTGGTTGTGGCAGATAAAGTAGGAATTCTTGGTAATGTGGTAACCATACCTGAAATCAGTGAGAGACATTGTGAAAATAAGGATTAAGAAGAAGATGCAAGAAAATTTATTGGAGATGTCAATGCTAAAGTTTTTGTTACATACTCCTCATAAATGGATCTGAGTTGATGGGACAGACTTTTATTTTTAGAAGCCAGGTAAGAGACAAACTCGCCAGCAATGGCAGCCGCACTCACACCATCTTTGTCCAAAACTGCAGTACAACACATGTAACCTACAACAACAATGCAACCAAAGAAAAACGTTAAAGGCTTTTGAGGTAACGCACCACTGTGTATTTAAAAAATAGTCCAACTAAGAGTGACGGAGAACCATCTCATGTAAACAATATCACGAACCATCTCATCATGACAAAAAAAAAAGGTTACAGACGCGACTGCATCTTTAAGACAGCTCTAGTGTCTTGAACTTTTGATTATTGGGTTACTAAGCCAGAATGTTACCAGAACTTGCTTAAATTTGCAAGGTTTTAGTGACTCGTGGTGTGTGGATGTGAGTGTACCAATAGCTTCTTCAAAGGCAAACAGAACAGCTTTTCCCTGGTCCATGAGATCTCTGGCTCTGTTTCCCATCCATTTAAAGCCTGTTAGAGTCTCCTACATAAGAGACATGCAGAGATTAAGCAAACAAAAAAAAACAAAACAAAAAACATGATATTGTACAATGCATTTTATGTGAGATCACATTCGCAAAAAAGAGCCAAACAAATACTTTACAAGTGAGCATTAATAGAAAGATTTATGGCAGCAGCTATTTGCAATAAGTGCGAATAACTACTAGATTCTATTTGCACTAAGTGAAAATAGCAGCATTTTCTTAGCGATATGCTAATTAGACTAAGTGACAATGTTGATAGATTCTATTTACACTAAAATAGCAGTATTTGCATTGCAATTAGTCTAAATAGTAGTTAGATGCTATTTATAAATAGTGGCAGATACTATTTGCACCTCAGTGTTGTTGTACATTAAACAGTATGCAATAAAAACCATGTAAATTATTATATTTGTTAATATTATTAAATGGATACCGCCTTTTTTGGGAAAATAAAGCCCTTACACCTACCCCTAACCGATAAACACTTTATTATTAAACACACGTTAGACACTTTATTTACACTTTTCGGATATTTTATTTATTTTCTTTTAAAAGAAATGCTTTTCCTGTCTGATATGTAATGGAAAAAGGGAGTAGAGCAAGTCCGGCAAAGGCGGATACGAATTTGGATCGATTTGAGTCAAAACTTTCTGCCATGTGCCTTACCCTACACTATTGCTAATGTTGACAAGTGAGCATCTTCCTTAGTTTTGTTTGGCCCAACCAGACATCAGTGGGCAGAGATAGTGTGAATAGTCTCTCCTAATAGAGTGCTGAAGTTACGACGTCACTTTGTAGGCCAAAACGCGGAAGTGAGTTAGCATTTTAGCACTACCGGTTCCCTCGCTCTAAAGTCTATGGGTTTTTTGAATGGGTTTTTGCTAAATCGCCTGAAATAAGGTCTGTGGTGAACAAAGCCTCTAAATATTCTCATGTTTTGATCTATGACATAAAACACGCAGTTATAACCTGCCTGTGGTTTTTTAAACTTAATCGTATCTGCTTGTGTTTTTAAAAAAAAAACAACTTTATATAGGCTTCAAAATGTATTCATTTTGGATTAACTTGTAAAGATTATCTTGATAGACAAAACGTGTAAGGGTCACACATCTTTGTTAAACACAGATCTTATTTTTTGCAATTTTCCAAAAGTCTATGGGGAAAAGCATAGCTTTTCGTTTAAGGGAACAAATGTACCGATAGCTTCCGAGTTGTCCTACAACGTGACGTCATCACTTCGGCACTCTATAAGGAGGTGATTATAGAAATTATAGGAATTATAGAACCGATTATAGAAATGTTCTTGACTATGGTACTTTTCCAGGCCTGAAAAATCACACTTTTGAAATTCCCAGATATTTCTAAGGCTACGGCAACGCACACTCTTATTGACCCATAGAACAAACAATTTGTCAATTTGCAACTAAATTCAATTTATAATTTAGCAACATAACTAATATTTGCAGCAATCAGAAAATTTTCCGTGGGATAGAGCAGTGGTTCTCAACCGAGGGTCTGGGGCCCACTAGGGGGGACTCTATAAACTTCAAGGCGGGCCCCAAAAAGTTTTAAAATGTAGTTATTTATATACACATAACCTTAATTAAAACGTAAAAAAAACTATTAAAATGCTATCACACTTTTGAGTATATTTATTTTGATTACAATAGAAGTAGCAGAGGTATACATCAGCTTAGTTCGGAAAAAATGGTCTTGGTCTTAAAAGGTTGAGAACCACCGTGATTGAGGCACCACCAAACGAAGGAATCACTTATTATATTACACATTATATGTGTAAAAAGCAGAGGTACCTCAAAGTGGAAGCCCTCTTTCACAGCAATGGCACGGAGGATTTTTGAGGAGACAGTGCTGGATAGCATGTATACATCCTTAATGGAGGCTTTTCCCTCTCCTTTCTGCTGCTTCCAGCATTGGAAAATCCACCAGCCGAGCAAAGCACCCAACTCATTCCCAGAGAATACCCTCCACTGCCCACTACAAAAAGAATGATTGCTGTTCATAAAATGACACACTAAATGAAAATCAACGCAAAATGCCAAAATAACACAGACCTTTTCTGCTTCTCTGCAATAGCTAGTCGGTCAGCATCGGGGTCATTTGCCAGAATAACAGTTGCTCCCTCTTTATCTGCAAGTGCGAAGGACAGCGTCTACGTACACAAACACATACAGATTACGGTCCATCTGGCATTAAGAGCACATTTTCTACAGCACAAGTGTATGTGTTGTACCAGGACGCCCTCTCCCTCCTCAGGGTTGGGGTATTTGACGGTGGGGAACTCCGGGTCAGGATCTTTCTGCTCTTCCACAGCATATGGAGGTTGAAGGTCAAAAGCCTTAAAAGCAGCCTGGACAAAAAAATGTCCCACTCCATGAACTGATGTATGGACAATCTTCACTTCTGTATTCTTATTCAGCTCCCTGTGAGGACAAGAGAGGTGTAAAAAGCAGACTGATTAATTATTAGGACTGGGTACTGGCACTAATGAAACTGTAGAGGGCGCAGGCTGATTAGTCCTTTACATGCAATTTGCAAGCAATCACATCAGTATTGCATGGAACAAGCTGATTGGTATTTGCTGATCCTGCAGCCATTGAGATTGCTTGCTCAACATGTAAATAGCCTGGTTCATTGTTTGCTACATGCTAGTCCTGCAGTGCTATCAGAGTTAATCTGAAACCCTCCTACTCCTCTAGCTCCACCTGCATAGATCTGCTACGGGATTTATAGCAGCAGCAGGATATCTTACATGCTCACAGCAGTGTGTCTGTGCATCTATTAGCAGTAGCAAGTCCATACTTGCTCTGAAGAAGCAGTAGCGCAGCAGATCTTGTTCACCAAGACCAAATACATTAGCATAGCCATATGCTAAATGGCTATAAATAACATGCTAAAACTATTCAGAGAGTTGTAATGATTGATATTTGATCTTTGCAGTTTGCACATCACTTTCAATATATTTTTTAAAAAACATTCTAAAACTATTCAGAGAGTTTTAATGATTGACATTTGATCTTTGCATATCACTTTCAATATTTCACAAAAAAAAAAATTCTAAAACTATTCCGAGAGTTGTAATGATTGATATTTGATCTTTGCATATCACTTTCAATATTTAAAAAAACATTCAAATATATAAAATGTTTAAAAAAAATCCAAAAAATAAATAACAAAAAACATATAGTTGATTGTTAAAAATAAACAGTTTAATTTACACATTCATTGATAAAACCAAAGTTTTAAGTATTACTCTTGGAATTTATGAGGATTAATATTAGATGGTTCAAATGAAATTGAATAAATCAACTTTTTGACCCAGTCCTAATTCTTCAGACATATCTTTGTGAGTGTACCTGTGATAGCAGTGCTGCTGTATGGTTTGGCAGTATTCTCTGTGTATGTCCTGGTATGGGTCATTGAGGAGGGAACTCTGAAGAGCTTTATCTGTGTCCCATGATTCAGGCCACGGCTCAAGGTTTTGTTCAATAGCTGCAGCAATGCCCTTATCATGAGGAGGAATGATCTGAGCTCCATTTGCCCAGTACACCTTTAACAAACACACACAACATTGAAAAATTGATCATACCAAGAAGTCTAATTAAAACAAGCTCAAAATAGTTTCTTCTAAATCAAACATCTAGCATATTTAGCTGGAGGGGTGTATGATACCTTATATCCATTATCTTGTTTGGGATTGTGGGAGGCTGTTACCATGACACCAGCACACAGTTTTAGATGTGACACAGTAAAAGGCTGAGAAAGAAAAGGAAGATTATTATTATTATTATTATTTTTAATTTACACTTCTTTTAAAGACATTAATACATCTTTTGAACGGTAGTCTCTTATGCTCACCAAGCCTCCATTTATTTGATTAAAAAATACAGTAAAATTAGTAATGTTGTGAAATATTATTACAATTTTAAAGTAGCCGTTTTCTATTTCAATATGTATTTTAAATGTTTTGGAATAAAATGTAATTTATTCACATTTTCTTATTATTATCAAAGTTAAAAACAGTTGATTAAAGCAATAAACCCCCAAGAAACTGTGGATTACAGTGATTTCAGAACAGTTAAATTCCTCTTTTTGCCCGGTGAATTGAATGTTCATGTCTCAACCATAAGGCGTCTCCAAAAGCGTTTCTGAGAATTTGGCAGTACACCCAACCGGCCTCACAACCGCAGACCACGTGTAACCAACACTAACCCAGGACCTCCACATCCAGCATCTTCAACTCCAAGATCGTCTGAGACCAGTCACATGGACAGCTGCTGCAACAATTGGTTTGCATAACCAAAGAATTTCTACACAAACTGTCAGAAACCAACTCATGTCCTCATCGGGATCTCGACTTAACTGCAGTTCTTCGTCGTAACTGACTTGAGTAGGAAAATGCTCACATTCGATGGTGTCTGGCACTTTGGAGAGGTGTTCCTTTCACGGATGAATCCCGATTTTCACTGTACTGGGCAGATGGCAGACAGCGTGTATGGCGTCGTGTGGGCGAGCGTCGAGTGGCCCATGGTGGCGGTGGGGTTATGTTATGGACAACGAACACAGGTGCATTTTATTGATGGCATTTTGAATAAACAGAGATACCGAGATCCTGAGGCCAATTGTTGTGGCCATTCATCCAAAATATTGACATGTACCTGGCTGTCGGACCCATAGATATCTATATAATGGCTAGATGTGTCACGGCAGAGAATTTATCATCATCACCGGCGGCCATCTTGTCACAGACAGGCTTTCTGGCGGGCTCTGTGGTATCTGATGTAAGAAATACTCTTATCTCATTGAAATCTTGACGGATTTACAAACGGTTTGGTTTCTTACAAACGTTATTAACGTGGCTATAATTCTGGATGATTATTTATTTATACACTTTCATAAGTATACAGTATCATAACTACATCTCTGCCGTTTATAACAAACCAGACCCTTTGAAAATCGGTTGAAAATTGAGCAAGTTACGGTGATTTAAAAAGTACATGCACCATCAAAACAATGAGCGAGCTGCCTGTGACAAGATGGCCGCCAGGCGCTGACGTCGACCTCCATTGGCCAGCAGCGCGGACGACACATCTAGCCTTTATATACATATCTATGGTCGAACCCCTCTGACAACTCAGCAATGGTGCTGACTTATGATTTTGCACATGGTTTGTCTAATAAATACTAATAAATAATAAGTATATAAATAACATTTAAGAACCAGATTTTCACCACTGAGGGTCTTTAAGGGGATTAATTTCTTATTTGCAATTTCTAGAGTAACACAAGTATGTATCATGTAACTTTTAAAGTAACAGTACCTTAAAAAGTAGTTGCCTAAAATTGTAGAACAAACATGTGCTCTGAGCATGCAAGGCTCACATGATAATGGTGTGGCAGATCTCCGACTGTTCCAGAATTTGTACACAGACCCACGGAAGGCTGATAATTGAGAACATGACATTTAGATTCCCCCGTGGCCACCAAAAGATGAGGAATATGTCAAATTACAGTAGATGACATAACTGTTTCCCTCTTGAGTTTAAGACATATGACATACTTGATTTTTTGAAATCAGTGTTTTTGTGGACTAATACTCTACATTTTACATAACAGGGACTGAAATGTTTTTGGACTAGAGGACACAGAGTGAGAGAAAGCTGTTTGAGGGCTCAAAGTGAAAGGTTGAGAGAGTGATAAGAGAATGAGTGAGAGTGTGTCCGTGTGCTCATGGGAACAGAAAAGTTGATGATTGTTGAAGAATCTTCATGAACCCTTCCAGACTCTTGTGCAACAATCTCACAGTCTTTTCACGTGCAATTGTGTGTATCTGTATTCTTTCTCATGCGTTCGGTTTTGATTTGTAATTAGTTGTTTGTAAATTTTCAAAAAGATATTTGAACATAATCACAAACTGCATTTGACAACACTTCTAAATAATTAAAAAAAATGTTTACAAAGTCACAGTGTTACTACTTCATATTTTTGAATATGATCCATAGAAGCATCTTGGAATAGCATGCAAATAAGTATGGCAACCATTCAGTACCATGGTACCACTGTGATACCATTATTGAACCATGGCATCAGCAAGTAAAGAAAAGTAATAGATGTAATAGAGTAATTTTGTATATACAAAATTGTTATATTTGTATGCCTTTTTTACTAAAAAAGTGGTAAATGGTAGTTGAACATGTCACAGTCAATATGCTATTATGCTGATTTGGTCCTCAAGAAATATTTCTTCTTATTACCAATGTTAAAAATAGTTGTGCTGCTTGATTAAAGCAATAAACCCCAAGAAGCTGTGGTTTACAGTGATTTTAAAACAGCTAAGGGGTATTGTTCACTCTCAGAAAAAAATGTGGAAAAATAAATGTATCTTTAAGGGTACAACAGCTTGTCATTGGGGCAGTACCCTTAAAAGGACAACTTTAGACCTTTGGACAGAGATGTCCTTTGAATGGTACTGCCCCAATGATAAGTCGTTGCACCCCTAAAAGGGACATTGCAGAGCGCTGTATTCATTTCTTTGAAAGTGAGTGGGTGCTAATCAAGCGGCAACATTCTAATCTGAAAAATGAAGCCTACCCGGAAGTGCGAAAAACTACAATACATCTAAAATCCGCTAGAAGGAGGTCCCAAAAGGGAGCAAATATCCATAGATCCCATGTTAAAATGTCTGTTTTCATAGTATAAATTCATGCTTTTACAAGTTGGTCCCATGGACTTTTATTGTATTTTTCGATAAGTTCCGAGTGCCTGACAACTGTGAGTGGGGTGAATTTTTTCTAACTCGTTAGTTTAGATCGTATTTAGATATAAAATGTATGACAAATAAGGGTATGTCAAACTTTGATTGACAGCTGATAACGGTCGGCGCCGAGTGGAATTTGACGTCTCGGCCATTATCTGATACAACACATCATACCATCTCTGTATCCTTTCTGAACATTTGTATTTTGTATTTCTCAAGATTTTCCAATATGGCGCCGCCCATACCCCCCATAAACAGCCTCAAAACTGTTCTTCAGAAAGTCTATAGGTGACGTCACAGACACTTTGTCCATATTTTTTACAGTCTATGGTGCTAATGTGTCATGCAATGCGACAGCGTAAGTCAGTGTAGCAGGTTCATACGTACCACGTATGGAGTGGGTGTGATGTCACGAAAGAGGTAGACTGGGACTCCTCGACTGATGAAGACAGAAGCAGCGAGGCAGCCGAATCTTTTACTGCTGCCGCCACTAGGAGGGTGAGCTCGAGCATCGAAACCAATCACCACACCCCTTTCCTTCAGATCTGGAAAACACTGCTCCAGGTACGCACAGAAACCCTACCAGAAGCAAAAGAGCGCAATTAATATCATTGAATTAATTGATATTATTTAATTAATATCAAAAAATAATATTTAGTGTGATTTATGGAAGCTCGTTTCCGCCACAGAATGAAAAATAAAAAAGGTAACTAATATAGTCACAATTGTAAGTTGTAAAGTCAGAATTGCGAGATATTAACTCGAAATTCTGACTTTTTTTCCTCCCAATTCTGTATTCTTTTCTCGCTTATATTGTGGGAAAAAAAATCTGAATTGCAAGTTTATATCTCACAATTTTGACTTTTTTCTCACAATTGAAAGTTTATATCTCACAATTTCAAAATATGACTGAGAAGAAAAGAAGTCAGAAATGTGATTTATAAAAGTCAGAATTGCAAGATATAAATTCACAATTGTGAGAAAAAAAGAATATGAAATAAGAGTTAAAATCTCACAATTCTGACTTTATAAGTCGCAATTGCAATTTTTCATCTCACAAATAGGAGAAAAAAATGTCTGAATTGAGAGTTTAAATCTTACAATTGTGACTTTATAACTCACAATTGCGACTTTTTATCTCACAAATCGGAGAGAAAAAAAGTCTAAATTCCGAGATTTAAACTCGTAATTGTGAAATAAAAAGTCGCAATTATTATTTAAAATGTTTTATTCTGTGATGGAAACAAAGTTTCATAGTTATTCGCCAAATTTTCATGGGCAAAATTTGTCCATTTCAAAAGGAATTCATGTGATCAGGAATTTCACAATTTTCACACAATTAGGTCAATGGGTTTCGTCACATTGACCAACAGAAAGCTACTTGGTTTGAAAGTGACTTCGGTGTCAGATGTGCTTCATACATAATTTCGCATAATGTCACACCTTAAGGTCATAATGAAACTGAAGTAATGACCAAACGTTTTTTCCATTTTATGGTTAACTGGAAAAATATGTAGAGTAGGGACTTGGTTCTATGCATAAGCTGTTGATTATATCTTGAGATGTGTGGCTGAAAAGTCGAGGCAGATTAACGTGAGTTTGCCGAACCGGGGTTTAAGTGGAGTAAATGATTGGAGAAGTCTTGCATACGTCACTAGAAAGAAGTCTATCGTTCTGTGTGGAACCAAGAGCACTACAGTCTTTTTGATCTGATGCCATAGCTAAGGATCTCCTGTATAGTTTTGATGATTCCGAGTGACAAGATAATAGGTAGGAAGATGACATGGGAAGCTACGTCACCTGAGTGGTCTGTATAATGGTGAGGTCATTCATGCAGGACACTCCAGGTCCCATGGCGGCTCTCAGTCCTGCTGTGCCAAACTCCATTCGGGCCCCGAAACACCTCTGCAGTTCTGACATGGCTTTATCTTTAACCATAGACCGCACGGCAGCAGCCGTCTTTGGATTCTGCAAACACACACAAAAAAATTAATCTGTCAACTTTACATATAAAAAGAAAATCTTTCAAATAATGTGCACTCATGAAATTGTTCCAGTAAAGTTGACGTTCTTCATCTTCTGTATGAAGAAAGTAAATGAGGTAAATTTTGTTTTTTTGTTAACTTTGCATATTATCTAGAAGTTACGATAAAAAAGGAATGGGGGGAAGAAAGGAGAGTCTTTGTCTCAAGGCACTTTGTCCTTATGATTTGGATTAGTGCAGTGTGTGTGTGTGTGTGTGTGAGACAATATGCGTTCACGCTCCTGATAATTGAGACCATGTGAGGATGCAAAGTGAAGGGCTGTGATCCCTTCCGGACTGCAAAGACACTTATAATGACCTCTCTGAGCAGCACATAGGCATATACAATCATTTTGGTGACTACACTGCCAATATACTTCAATTAATCATATAGTGATCTACCTATTGTGGATTCAAAATGCTCTGTTACATTTGTTGCACTGAAAAAGAGAATGAAACCTGAACATCCAATTTTAAACTAATCCATGACCATAACCTTCTGAGTAAAACCTTTAACCATGTTTCATGTGACCCAGTTAAGCACACGACTCCAATTACTGTAATTACATTAAACTATTTCAATTTATGGAACTGTCCATTGACAATATTTTACATTCCATTTAATATCAGGGCAAATGAAAAATATCTACCTCACAATGAACACATTAACAATATGATGTGTGCACTTGTTTTTGAAGTTCAGGCAGGTCATGTGTTTTTGTACTAAATGTTTCAGACACACTTGCCCAACTCCAAAACATTCCTGCCTGATGAGAAATTACAGATTAGATCTTTATCATCTCAAAATGTTTTTCTTGAGGTAAAATGGATTATATAATGAATCTCTTCATTCTCAGATTTTTCTTCTGAGAAATAGCCTCTACCTCAGTGATGTTCTCATGAGTTTCCTTCAGAATGTTAGAACAATCTGTGAACTGCTCAGATTTGCCAAGATACCAAGGTTTGCAATCAAAAGACAAATTTCAATATGAAAAGAAAAACAACCTTTTGAACAGTAGAGTACTGTATATTAATTGTGTATTATTTTTATAGTTAACTCCATAGTCTGATTTGGCTTTTTTAATGTATCCAAATGAATTTTAGGAGAAGCGTCTTGGACAAAAGCAAATCAAAGTCTCCTGAACAACCTCTGTGCAAAGTATTTTAATAGAATTAGAATCCATATTCATGGCATATCAAAAAGAAACTGACCAAATCGCAATTCAGACGACATCATTTTGAGTAAGCTAGTTAGTAAGAAAAAATAAACTTCCTGTAAAAAGCATGTTTACAGAAAAGTGGCATTCAGTTAGTGGATAACTGCCACATTCTGGATGTTCCTCTTCGCTGAGCTTTTATTGCGCCACTCAAAGGGGGGTTTGGTTTTGTCAGACCTCACATACTTAAAGCTACATAACAGCAGGTGTTTGGTCTTACCTTGTCATACTGTAACCACTGCGTGACAGCCTGGTCCAGGCGACTGTCTCCTGTGCTTTCCAGGCCGTTCTCCATTTTTATCTACTTCGGAACTAAATTGTAATTCAAACAACAATGAGAGATTCAAATTGTGCTCTGTAACACTGGCATATGAATGGTGTCGGTCGCTCTGCGTGAATTTAACGATACCGTGACCAGTGACTGAAGCTGTCGGATCATAAATACTGTGTATTAGCTATGTCCGTATTGCTGAGTGAATGAAACGAAGTGGGCGGGGTTTTGGAAGAGGCGGGCACGTGATTCGCTCATGCTATTGCGTATGCTATCCGCTCATTGGTGGAGCACCTTTACCAACCTGTCCCCCAAGTTTGGTGCTCACAGCCTTTTTTTACAGTCTATCCACTGGCTGCAGAACAAATGGGTGGAGCTTACACCCATAGCTTACACCTCCTCGTTTGAGCACTCCTGCGAGGAGCCAGCACAAACACCACTCCCTCGCCACCTAGTGGCTATTAACGTAATGAAGCTCAACATACAATGAAGGCTAATTTAAGATTAGGGGGCCGTTCACAGAAAATACAAGATGCTGGACAAAAGTATTCGAATGCAGAGGCAACATGCTGCTGGGGCTTGATGCTGATTCCATCCAAAATTGCATACTCAGGAGTATACATTAAACTACAGATGAGATGTACAAAGTACTTCAGTGAATATAGTCGGGTTGTCAGATAAATCCTCTCCCATGACCTTATGGAATAAATTGTCCACTGAATACATGCTTTAGAATCTCACCAGAACAATGATAGACATACTGCTACATAGCTGGAAGTGTGTTCATACTCATTACAGCTTAATGTTAGCTACAGACATTAGTTAATGCTACAGGGAAAAACTTAACAGTGGATCACGAACACCTTCAAATGCTGTGGTCAAATTTAAGCTAAAGATAAACAAGGGGTTAACACTCTTGCAAACCTATAGTTGCCCTATGATAAAGGCCTGACAACCCAGAATTAAAAAAAAAAAAAAAGCAGACAGGAATTCATTGTAAAGGTTTATTTCACCAAAGTTCAAAATGAAGGCAGACAAAACTCATTTTCTTATACAGATGGATTCACATAGATCTTTCAGAGTTAAACATCCTCAGTGCAAAGTTGACTGCCTCTTCACAAATCACATGAGCGCACTGTAGAATAGAAAAGGCAGTCATCCTTCAGAATGGTCTAAGTCAATTGTAACTGTGAATATCCCTCTCCAGCCCGTGGCTGTAATGACTGGTGGTTGGGAGATGCCATCTTCTGACTAAAGTGATGTGACTCACCATCTCATCCTCTACATCTTGCCCTTGGTGAACATCTGTTGATAATTTACGCCTCACATTTTTTCTCCTGTTCAATGGCTGCAGGAGGGAAGAACAAAACCCCATTGAAGCAAACATATCACGTTTGAAACCAACAAAAATAAGAACTAGCAAGTAGTTGCAAACAGGAACAAAAATATCAGAAGGCACCGAGTGTTCTGAAAAAAACTCAAACTTACTCTCTTTGGTGGGAAGTGTGTTTTTCTCCTGCGTCTCAGTTTTCTTCAGCTTGGTCTTGTCAAACTGAGAGATTTCACTGATATTTGGTTTGTCAGCCATTGTTTTACTTTAGTTTATCTATGGGGAAATAAATGAGAAACTAAATACATGTATGAAGCATGCCATAAACAAATAACTGCACTTATCAAAGACATTACATGACAAAAATAAACTCCCAAACCTCTCACTTCACTGGAGAAAACCAACAAACAAGGAGATACAAAACAGGGTTTCTGATTTGACTCTTATATTGGATTTAAACATCTGATTCTAAATAAATGCACCTGATTTTAATTAATGTTGCAGGTGCATCTTGTTGACAATTTTGCTCCTTTATTTTCATTGGTCAATTGATCAATTGATTGACAAGTTTTCTCTCTGTCAGTACACTTTCATCTAAAAAAAACAGGCATAAAAAGAAAAGAAAAAATAGGCTAACCATGAAAATGTACCATTTAATTTATTAATGATGATGCCACTTTCTATTATTCTGCTGTATGTTGTCATACAGAACACTGTGTAAAATAAAGACCCAAGCACACAGGCACAGCTAATCTCAGTCAAGGCGTAGATGGCATTGTCAGGGACCGCAGATCTCAGATCAGCACATAAAGCGATTCCAATATCGAGCCAATCAGAGCGCGAGATGCGCGCGACCGTGATGTGATGTGGGCGACGGAAGCGCGTGTATTTGCACGAATGACATGAGGCGATGTTTCTATCTTTATATATAAAAAAAGAGAGAGACTTAATCATCAGATTGTGTGTATCACGGATATTTTATCATCTCTTCACCCAGAGGTCATTCATAGCGGGTAAAACAATAATAATATGATAAATTGCTACATAGCCTATTTGAACGTGATGTGGTGTTTTTGGATGATGTAGCTTATTGTCAACGACTGAAGATGCTTCATTATCTTTAATCCGAAAAAATCTTCCTACTGTAGCCTATGAAATGATCTTAGGCTATATCTGTTCTGCATCGCTGAAATGAACGGGGGCGGATACTCGCATTTGTCTTTCTTTGTCATAAAAACGTTACAGGTCACTCCTTTATATGAATTTCCATGACAACCATAATTTCTGCCAAAATGCCATAGTTTCTAAACAAAACTGCAGTGACTTATTAGTCACCGATGCATCAAATGAAAAATAATAAACCAAAATGGCAGAAATATTATTAACCCCATATTCATATAATTCTGACTTTACAGTAACAGCAATAATTGAACTATGGTGTTGTGATGATGGCCATGGTGAATTTTAATCTGTAGGCCTAAGCCTATGTAAATGTCTACTGGTTTCATCTCTCTCTCTAAACATGTGGAATTAAATGTTATACTGGATTTGCTGTTTTTAATGTTAGACTAACCATTGAGTGAATGACCTGGATGAAAAAAAAAACTCTTAAATTAAAATCAACTAGGGAACAAACTCAGGGTTACAGGATTAGTTTCGAGTTGACCAAAGCAATCCAACCAGGCTTTGTTCAGCATCAATTTAATTTTATCTGTCAACTCAGGATTTGATCCTGAGTTTAGGTGTTCTCATTTCTCACTTATTAAATAAAAGTATTAAAATATTAAGAATGTGAGCAAATTTACAAAACAACAAAAAAATAAATTGTGCGTAATAGGCTAATAATTCATACAATGTCAAACTAAATCATACAACATTTTTATTTTAAATAAGCCTTAATAGAAGCCAGACAATTTTGTCTTTAAAAATAATTTGCTATGTAGTGACCTGTTAATTTAGAGAAAAAGGTGGAGTGACTTTATCTAATAATGCCATAAATGCTAAGCTTACAACTGATTGGTCCAAGTTTGGTTTGCAACTTCTTACCTGGAACATAACCTGGCCTGTACCAGGGGTGTGTTTCCTAAACCCACTGTTGCTAACCTGTTAGCAACTTGGTTGGCAATGGGAAATTGCATTGCAACCAACAAAGTTGTTAACTTGGTTAGCAATTATGATTTTGGGAAACACACCCCAGGTTAGCCATGGAGCATCACCAAAAAAGCCAAAACCACTTTCATGGTGCCTAAAACCCAGGGTTGGCGTAAACTAAACTGAAACATACCTGGCTAGCCACCTAAACCGGTTTCATGGAATAAGCCCCTGATGTCGGTATTACATCAACATACTAGTACTGGTTGTCAACTAGAGGGCTGGAGCCCATTAGGGGGCCTCAGCAAGCTTCCAAAGGGGCTTCATGATTTGAGAAAAAAATCCCATGATGACCCAAATAAATTAAGTGTACGTAAAGCACTAAACATGTTCATTTATTTTTTTATATTTGTATGTTTATTTATAAATTCTCTAAGTTTATTTTTTTAAGGATGTTTACTTATATTTCAAATACACTTTGAGAGTTAGAAATTTACACAACCATTCCAACGTTTGGGAAAAGATTTTTTTAAAAAAACTTTTTTTTTTTAAAGAAGTCTTTTATATGCTCGCATGGCTGCATTTATCTGACCAAAAATACAACAATAACAGTAATATTGTATAATAGATTTGATCAATTTTAATCAATTGAGTGCATTGCAGAACAAAAATAATAATTCCCTTTTTTTAAACAAACTGATGCAAAACCTGAGGCAAAATGATCTATGTAGGATAAAAAGTAAAACGGTGTCAAACGACGAAGAATAATCCTCAGGTTATCTTTAAGGCATATAGACCATTTCACAAGATGTAAACAGCACTGGTCCAGAAGCACTTCCTGTTTCAGTTTTTTAACACTTCATAAAAGCTGGGATAAAATATAGAACATTTAAAACTGAATCAAAAAGTTAAACAAGCATCTTTAAGATGTTTTCTTTACATGTGAAATAAAGAAAACAGTTACAAACTGAAAAAGGAAGTGTTTCTGGACCAGTGTTGTTTACATCTTGTGAAATGGTCTATTAAGTCCTTTCATATGCTCACGATACAGACAGACAACACAATTTGCTAATAAAACTTCAATGCGTGAAATATAAAATGAAGGAATGGCTTGAATTATCCAATTTTATAAAATATTTTTGTATTTAATATTTTTTTCATATGCATTATTTTATTGAAATTCACATGCAATATGCTGTTTAAATTGTTACTTTTACTGTTACATTTACCAATTTTGATGACTATTCTTTTCCTTTTCCCCCCCTTATAACGCAGTTTATGCATCAGATGATGTCATATCTGATCCTCATTTTCAACCTTTGATTGGGTATCAATGAGGACCATGGCCTCCGCCGACCAAGACCAAGAGTCACAGCAGAATCAGAACCACTACTTGTGTGGTTCTGTAGCGGCGTTCGCCAACATCGTCATCACGTTTCCCATCCACAAGGCACTGTTCCGCCAGCAGTTGTTCGGAGTGTCGGCGTGGGAAGCTGTGCGTCAGCTCCAGAGGGATGGTTTGCACACACTTTACCGAGGCATCCTCCCGCCGTTACTCCAGAAAAGCAGCACTATTGCAATTATGTTTGGACTCTATGAGGACTTCTCAAGGTTGCTGCGACTAAACGCTCCTCACGCCCCCGTCCTGTTAACGGACAGTATTGCAGCAGTCTTGGCGGGAACCGCTGAAGCAGTTTTGACGCCATTCGAGAGAGTACAAACTTTACTGCAGGATCCACGTCATCATGGAAACTTTCAGAACACTGCACACGTTTTCCGTGCTTTGCTTCAGCAACATAGCATCCGAGAACTTTACCGTGGCCTTGTCCCGATCCTACTCAGAAATGGCCCTAGCAATGTTTTTTTCTTCGGTTTGCGTGGACCAATTAAGGAACTGCTCCCCGAGGGCGAGTCAAAGGCAGGACATTTGGTTAATGACTTTGTTTGTGGGGGGATTTTGGGAGCAGCTCTCGGGGTGTTTTTTTACCCTCTGAATGTAGTTAAGTCTCACGCACAAGTAAAGATTGGAGGGGAGTTTCAGACCTGCAGGGTGATATTGGCGACTGTTTTGAGAGAGAGGGACGGGAAGGTGAGCCGTCTGTTCCGAGGTGTGCATTTGAATTTCCAGAGATCTGTTTTCTCATGGGGAATCATAAATGCTGCATATGAACTTTTATTAAAAATGGTCTGATTGGGGCGAGAAAGAACAAAGGGGGACCTAAGTGAAAAGCACAGAGAAAGGAGTGAAAATTAGTCTTCCTTATTTCATTTCTGCTGCTAAAAACATATTGTGCAATAATAGACAATATGTTAAAGCTATATTAAAGGGATAGTTCACCCAAGAAATTAATATTCTGTTTTCATTTTTATTCATCCTCAATGTCATTCCAAACCTGAACCTAAGGCTAACTGAAAGGCAATTTTTTATTTTGATAATTTGTAGCTATATAATTTTAATTAAAAGAGTCAGACTCTCATGCACACCAAAGCTATGTTTATTTGATCAAAAATATAGTAAAAACATTAATATTGTGAAATATTATTACAATTTGAAATACATTCTAATATGCTGATTTGATGCTCAAGAAATATTTCTTATTGGTATCAATGTTGAAAACAGTTTGTGGAAACCATGATTAAAAAAAATTCATTCAGAAGTTCATAACAACATAATTTATTTGAAATAAAAAATCTTTTCTAACAACATACATGCATTTACTGTCACTTTAAGCATCCTTGCTAAATAAAATATATATATTTTCTTTTGTAAAAAAAAAAAAAAAAAAAAAAAAACTTAACTTAACTTTCGTCAATGTCATTTCATAAAAAAGTGATTTTTCATTATTTCTAATCAGGCAGGATCTTTTATTGAGGAAAGAGAAATAGAATTTCACCTGACATCGAACGACACATAAACAAATCGAATTTTGTGACCTGGATCAATTGATTAATTGGCAGACTTAAAAGAACAGCTTCGTGAATCAAACATCTGTTTCATGATGAGTGTTCATAAAATGGTGGATATTCAGTAAATAATTTATTTTATAATACTTTTATGTTGATGTTTTCTGTTTGTTTTTGTTTTCATTTTGGAGCTTGACAGCCCAATCTTAATTTAACTTTAATTATATTGAAAAGAGTGGCCAGAATCATCTTTTGCCTCATCCAGTTGCATGACTGGAGTAAAGATAAAATTGGTACAAACATGAGAAGAAGTGAGTGTGAGAGAGAAATTGTTGACCTCAGTTGGACTCAGTCTTGTGATAAGCTCCCCGCATTCTTTTTTCTAAACTTACTGTACTGTGGTCTTTTAACCACAAAGTATTCAAATCACTGTCATTACCAGGGTGGGAATGAGGGCTTTTTTTGCCGCCAACTTTATACTGTATATAGTTTTGCTGAGTTAGCTTTGGTGACGCCAAATGCTGTCTACTTGTTATCAAGTCAGTTTGGTGTTTGTGGTCACTGTAGCTTTCATGTGGGAACATAATCATCCCATCTGAGCCAGGATTCTTCATGCTTTTAGCATCCATTGAAACTATAATAGGTTATTTCAATGATTTGTCCATGTTTGGTTTGTGTTCCTTAATGCACTAAAAGCTTCTTTGAATCACTCCCAAATCTATTTGGATTTTAAAAAGGTAAGACCACAAACCCCAGTTGACAATGGCAAAGTGCTGGTGCAGTTTTGGTGAAATCGGCAGTGCTGTAAATTCAATTCGGTGCAGTATTGTGGAATTAAGATTCGCCTCTTAATTTTCACACACTATGTTGTCAATCTTTCATCAGTTCTGGTGTAAACATCAGTGTAAATGGCTTGGTTTTGTAAAGGGCTAGTTTTTGTGCAGTATATTCACTTCCATTCACTGTTTAAAAGTTTGCGGTCATTAAATCTTTTTAATAGATTTTTGTTAAAAGCCCCATATTCTAACCTGCATTTATTTGATAATGACAGTACTTTTGTGAAAAAAGTATTTCTATTTAAAATAATTCTTCTGTTTTCATATTTTTTTAATATATTAAAATGTGTAATGTTTTCCTGTGATGACAACGCTAAATTTTCAGCAGCCATTACTCAGTGTTTTTAGTGTCACACAACACAATCAATCACAAATCATTCTAAATTCTGAGAAAATTCAACTGCAGTAGCCACTGTTAAACCTGAAGAGGGCAGCACTAAGACGTTTTTACACCATATATTGTAGAAATAAAACACTTAAAGGGTTAGTTCCCAAAAATGAAAATTAAGTCATTAATTACTCACCCCCATGCTGTTTCAACCCCGTAAGACCTTCGTTCATCTTCGGAACACAAATAAAGATATTTTTGATTGAATCTGAGAGCTGGATCAGTCCTAGATAGACTGCCTAAGGGACTGGCTCTTGACGGCCCATAAAGTCATTAAAGAAAAGGTTTAAATATTCCATGTGCCTACAGCGGCTCAATTATAAGTTTATCAAGCGACGAGACTACTTTTTGTGCGAAAAAAAACACAAATAACGACTTTATTCCACTATTCCATTACTTCCTTATGGGCGCATGCGCGAGAACTGAGACGAGGACGTTCTCATTCGTCTACTTCTTGTTACCGGCTGCTCACCGCTTAGGAGTTTTACCGCCACCTACCGTATAAGATGATGTGCTGATATAGCTGGAAGCGCAAAACTTTCTGTTTACAAGCAGAGGAAGATGCGCGCTGTACATACGCTTTTCAATTTGCGTATTTTCCGCACTATAAGGTGCACTTAAAAGCCTTTAATCTTCTCAAAAAACGACAGTGTTCCTTATAATCCGGAGCGCCTTATATATGGATCATCATTTTATACGGTAGGTGGCGGTAAAACTCCTAAGCGTTGAGCAGATGGTAACAAGAAGTAGACGAATGAGAACGTCCTCGTCTCAGTTCTCGCGCATGCGCCCATAAGGAAGTAATGGAATAGTGGAATAAAGTCGTTATTTATGGTTTTTTCGCACAAAAAGTAGTCTCGTCGCTTGATAAACTTATAATTGAGCCGCTGTAGGCACATGGAATATTTAAACCTTTTCTTTAATGACTTTATGGGCCGTCAAGAGCCAGTCCCTTAGGCAGTCTATCTAGGACTGATCCAGCTCTCAGATTCAATCAAAAATATCTTTATTTGTGTTCCGAAGATGAACGAAGGTCTTACGGGGTTGGAACAGCATGGGGTGAGTAATTAATGACTTAATTTTCATTTTTGGGTGAACTAACCCTTTAATACACAAATGTCAAAAAAGTGACTCGAATCAATGACTGGTATTAATAAAGGTCCATTCTTACAGATCATTAACTAAAAAAAGTTGGTTTAGTGTTTAGTTACTCTTTAAAAACATAAGAAATCCAAACTCCTGCAGTCACTTACTTATGACTGTAACTCTCGGCCAGGAGAAGATGTCATCACGCAGCATCCAGCTTTCTTTGGACGTTTCAATCGACTGCCCATCTTCTCCTGGCTTCCAGATGAACTCTTCCCGCCTATTCGAAAGCCCAAAAGAGGATCTTTCTGCTGCCTCCCCCAACCTATGTGTAGCTGTCTTCATCTCCCTTTTCTGCTATTCCCAAAGCTTTGAGCATCTTTCACGCAGATTATGCAGAAACCTCAATTTGAAATGGCCAGGCCTTCCTCCTTTTGTCCGTGCATTGCTGGACCTGGTCCTGATCCTTGGTTGCTTTCCTCTCCAAGGTCTCCTCGCATCCATCCTCTCATGGGATTGTCAGCTAAATCATTATGATCCTCCTTTCCTCCTCAGACCAGATGGCCACGTCTGGCCTTAGGGATGTTTGGACGACCAGGGGAAATATAGTTTCCTTCCCAGGTCCACCCTCATCTCCCATGATTGTGTTTCCTGCATACTGCTCTGGGTCTTTTTGGAGGAGTGTGACTTATCTCCATCCTTGATGAACTGGATAGATGTCACTGATGCTTTTTCCATCTCCCCTGCTCCAAGATGTCAGACCATCAGATTCAATTCCAAGTGCAGTGCGCCAATATGCTTTTCCCTCCACATAACACACTCTTCCCTCCCTCATTCCCCACCTGAACAAGTTTGCTGGTGATGGAAGAGTATCAAACACTGATAGGTGCAGGAAAGAGATGTGAAAGGGCTCCAGTTTCTAAAGTTTAGGCTACATGATCTTCTGCTTTGGCAGGTCCCACTTTGTCCAGGATCCTTGTACTCCTCAATTCCACTGCCCTAGCCCTTTGCCCTTACTTCTCCAATTTCAAACTTTGGCTTGGATAACTTATCGCCTCTGCATTAAGTCCGACTTCCCCATGCACTACCTCCCAATGATGTCCTTCAACTTTAGTCTTCTTTCTGCCTGTGGCACTGCTGCATCTGCCGCCCACTTGTGTCTTGATCTTGTAGGGATGTCTGCACCTCTGATCTTTCATCGCCGGAATCTCTGTACATCAGCTCAGCCCTTCACTTTGCCACTTTGAACTCAACCACTGTCGAGGTCTGATGTAAAGCTCTACTGGCACGAAACTTGGTGGAATTCCGAGCCAGCTGCAAGGTGTTTATTCACTCGCCAAGTCCTTCTACTAATGTCATGGGAACTTCATAAATTGTCAGAAGTCACATAAGTCTTGGTAGCAGACCATGGTGAAAGAGCGAGGCCTTCATCTTGCCTGGTCTTTCTCAACCATTCTTCCACCTGTCTTTCTGTCCATATGCTGCTTTTGTCATTAATGGTGCTTTTCCACTACACAGTACCACTACATAGTAAGTCGGTATTAAAATCTCATGTGAAAACAATGCCGACTGCTGATTGGTCAGAGAGAATCATCACCATTCACTGCGTCATCATTACACGCGCCAGATGGAGTATCCAGAATAACCCCGCTATTTTTAAATACTTTGGCCAGATAAAGTTACTAAACTAACTACTATTATTATGGCAACTCCGAAGAATACGCTGTGGTCAAACGAGGAGGTGCGGACTTTCCTTTGTTTGGTGGTCGAAGGGAGGATCCTGCGAGAGATTGATAGGGCAACGAGGAACGAAAGGCATCGCTATGACAACCGGGTAATATTTATGGCGGTACTGTCTGCAATGGAAAACGGAACGAAAGGCGAGCTGAGTCGAGCCGAGCCGAGTCGAGCTGGTACTGGTAATGTAAAAGCGCTTTAAGAGAGGTATCATACCAATTCCATAGACATTTTACTGGGTCTTCCTCAATTAATGGTATAACCTCCCCCTAGACTTAAATTTGGAACTTGCTAGTCACTTTCCCATTTCTAATCACCATACTTCTTGCTCATTCTTGCCCATGCTGCCACATCACCAAGGTTCTTACGGATCCAGCTTGAAGTGGTTATAGTTAGGTCATCCATAAAACCTCTTATTGGAGGTTGACGAATGCCGGACTCCATTAACAGCCCTCTGGATTCCTTCCCCGGTGCTGCGTTCCCATGGCTGTGTTAATAAGATCATGGGGAATTGATCCATATGCATTAGACAAAATCGAGCCGAACTACTGTTAAATTGCCTCTGATCTCCTTAGCCTCACAAATGATCTGACTGAGGGCACCTGTGTTTTCCAA